TTATATTTATGGATATATTATTGGTGCATTTTTTATATTTAAGGTATAATATTTTTATTTATGGGTATATTATTGGTGCACTTTTTATATTTAAGGTATAATATTTTTATTTATGGATATATTATTGGTGCATTTTTTATATTTAAGGTATAGTATTTTTATGTATGGGTGCATTATCGGTGCACTTTTTATACTTAAGGTATAATATTTATATTTATGGATATATTATTGGTGCATTTTTTATATTTAAGGTATAATATTTTTATTTATGGGTATATTATTGGTGCACTTTTTATATTTAAGATCGAATATTTATGGGTGCATTATCAGTGCACTTTTTATACTTAAGGTATAATATTTATATTTATGGATATATTATTGGTGCATTTTTTATATTTAAGGTATAATATTTGTATATATGGGTGTATTATTGGTGCAATTTTTCCCCCCCCGTCATCATATTCTGCAACCCCATCTCGCATGAGCATCTTTCGGAAAAAAAAAAATCGAAAGTTTTTTTCAATTGATGATTGAAATGATTTGTTTGTCCCTCAAAAATAAATAAATAAAATAACAAATAATTAAATTTCTCATGAACATTAGTTGATACTTCATCCTCAATTTTCCATGCAAAAAAGTCTTTGCTTATTTTACGGGGATCATCTTGACGTATACATAAATTGTAATTGCGTTTTGAACGCAGGAATGTGCCGTTCATGGAGCTTTTCTTATGTACGACAGCTTGGTGCCAGTTTCTGATCCATCAATGTTACTCTCCCGCCAACAGCCAAACCTGGCATCAGCCCTCAGCGACTGGGCAAGACCTGAAGTGCTGGTCATATTGTCTTTAGCCATGAGGTCACAGATCCCCTGAAACGCACCCTAAGGGAAGCCCGGCAGCCGCACGGGACTCCAGCACACGGCTGGGTTTATTTCGAGCGCTTCAGAGCGTGTGCGAGGCTGAAGGCCACATGCCAGCATGACACACATTATTCCACACATGGTCTTGTAAGTGGGTCATATGCATTAGCAGGCGAAACAATTAACTCCTGTTCTAGACTATCATGTGGACGATTTCTTGAAGATGTTTGTGAACACCAAATGTGGAATAGCAGACTTTGTTCTAGTTCTTGGTTTCTTTAAGAGCGAGTCCATCAAAAACTGGCTATGGTAAAATTTCACCTCGAAATCAAAAGGAAGAAATAAGAATTATATTAAATATTTTGCATGAATGATGAAGAAAATGAAGCCTATTCTAGGATTATTAAAATGTTTTGTATTGTGACATTATTTTCATGAAAATTAACCCCTAATTGCTCATTTTCTTATTATTTATAGACTCACCTAAAGGATTATTAGGAACACCATGCTAATACTGTGTTTGACCCCCTTTCGCCTTCAGAACTGCCTTAATTCTACGTGGCATTGATTCAACAAGGTGCTGAAAGCATTCTTTAGAAATGTTGGCCCATATTGATAGGATAGCATCTTGCAGTTGATGGAGATTTGTGGGATGCACATCCAGGGCACGAAGCTCCCGTTCCACCACATCCCAAAGATGCTCTATTGGGTTGAGATCTGGTGACTGTGGGGGCCATTTTAGTACAGTGAACTCATTGTCATGTTCAAGAAACCAATTTGAAATTATTCGAGCTTTGTGACATGGTGCATTATCCTGCTGGAAGTAGCCATCAGAGGATGGGTACATGGTGGCCATAAAGGGATGGACATGGTCAGAAACAATGCTCAGGTAGGCCGTGGCATTTAAACGATGCCCAATTGGCACTAAGGGGCCTAAAGTGTGCCAAGAAAACATCCCCTACACCATTACACCACCACCACCAGCCTGCACAGTGGTAACAAGGCATGATGGATCCATGTTCTCATTCTGTTTACGCCAAATTCTGACTCTAACATCTGAATGTCTCAACAGAAATCGAGACTCATCAGACCAGGCAACATTTTTTCCAGTCTTCAACTGTCCAATTTTGGTGAGCTCTTGCAAATTGTAGCCTCTTTCTCCTATTTGTAGTGGAGATGAGTGGTACCCGGTGGAGTCTTCTGCTGTTGTAGCCCATCCGCCTCAAGGTTGTGCGTGTTGTGGCTTCACAAATGCTTTGCTGCATACCTCGGTTGTAACGAGTGGTTATTTCAGTCAAAGTTGCTCTTCTATCAGCTTGAATCAGTCGGCCCATTCTCCTCTGACCTCTGGCATCAACAAGGCATTTTCGCCCACAGGACTGCCGCTCACTGGATGTTTTCCCTTTTCACACCAGATTGTGAAATACTCAGAGCGGCCCGTCTGGCACCAACAACCATGCCACGCTCAAAATTGCTTAAATCACCTTTCTTTCCCATTCTGACATTCAGTTTGGAGTTCAGGAGATTGTCTTGACCAGGACCACACCCCTAAATGCATTGAAGCAACTGCCATGTGATTGGTTGATTAGATAATTGCATTAATGAGAAATTGAACAGGTGTTCCTAATAATCCTTTAGGTGAGTGTATTTCTTGGTAATGTTTGTTGTACTGCCTAAAATATATTATTATTATTATCATCAAGTCATTCATTAAAGTATTTTTATATTGTTTAAATGCTCAAAAGCAAAACATCCAGACCCTTTCAGTAATGAGAATTTCTGTTAAAATCAACTAAACAAAAACAAAAGAAAGAAATGTAATTTGAATGTATATGCAATACACATATTGTAGTTGCACTGATACAAATACAGTATTATAGTAAAGAGGGGGTCAAAACTAATAAAGAACGAATCCTTCTTTTGAGTCAGATCTTTGCGATGAATAGGTTGATCCAGTTCACAGAATCAGTCCGAATGATTCGTTTAAGAATCACACTTCTCTGGTTCTCTTCGGGACTCAATGATTGCAATGGTTCTCGAGTTCAGACAGCGGTGAAAAGCCGCTCGAGCTTCAGTCAAACGTGTAATCGTCTCCATTCATTGTTACTGCATGGAAAAGAGTGACTATATTACTAGCACAAAGAATGAGGATAAGTTGATTATGAGATTGTGAGTTTTTAGAAGAACTATTCCTTTGATTTTCTTGAACATAAAAGCACAATGCAAAATGTATTTTCTTAATTTTTTATTTTATGAATATCAATTGGATATGTTTTCGTGAGATTCAGGCAGAATATCTGAACATCTATCCTGTGACCTCTAAAACTCAATGTCTACTTTTTGGCTAAGAAATATTTAGCATTTTTCTTATTTCATAATATTTCTGAACATATAGGATATATTTTTAAGTCCCCCTGTGGTGTAAATCCAGCTTTTAATGTTGTTTATGTGTCTATGTGGTGTTTTTAATACGCTTTAAGACACACCATGTGTAAGTTCATAAGTCGACAGCATTGCTGAGTATTTTCTGCTTAAAACTGCAGTGAACCAAAGACAGTCTCAAAAACACGGTTTGAAATCGCTGGTGTTTCTGACGTCACAAACGACCTTGTAACCAATCAGATCAACGTGTGATCGTCAACCAGTGGATCTCTGAGCTGAGTGAGTGAGTGGAGGCGGGGCTCATTTGCATATTCATAGAACCGCGCATACTAAATGAGGCGAGGGTGTCGAGTTACATTCAAGATATTTTAAGGCATGAAGACTTTTTTTTCCCAAGGCTTAAATGTCATTTTTGGTGATCACAGATGAGTTTTAAGGGATAAAATGATTGACTACAGGGGAGACTGTAAGATAAGTTTGCACAATATTTGCCTTCATATTGTATGCAGCTTTCCTGCCTAGATATTTAACAAGTCGTTTGTTTTACATGTACACCACGTTGATCACTCAATAGTTGCTGCACTTCGAACAGAACTTTCTTTAACCAGATGATTAATAAAGAGAATGTTAATTTAATCACGTTGTAGTTATGTTTCTAAGTTGACAAGTCGGTATCGAAATGTATTTCTTTGTCATATCGCCCAGCCCTACATCACAGCAGTTTGTTCTTCAGTTTTGCTGGTAGTTTAAGAGAGAGAGAGAGCATGTGCTGACATGAAGTCGAGCCCTACAGCTCATTATTTGCATGAGGTATCGGTACACAAATGGTTAATCTCAGCAAAGTTTAACTAGCACACACACACAGGGACGGGAGCGTGACTGTAGACTGTCCTCCTCTTCACACGTGCTCAACATTCGAGCACATCAGAGGGAAGCAAAACTAATTAAAACAAAGTTTCAGAGCTAAAAATAAGCCTCGGCAGCGTCTCTGGAGACGAGCTTGACTTGACACCCTTTCCACCGCTGCAATTCATCACATCGCAGTCACCATCCAGGCTATCAGCACTTCAGGGAACGTAATATATTGAAATAGATTCATTTTTTGTTGTTGAAATATTTCAACTTAATATAGGGCTTAATAAAATGTTGAACGTTTCAAAGCGGCTTCACAGTAACATGCTGTAAAGTAACAGACTCGGTGCAAAACTTCAGCACATATGAGACATTCAATTCAAAGTCAAAGCTCTAGAAAGGCAAAAGTGTCATTATTCAGATCAGTTCAATAACTGTGTTGCAAAGTTAGTGTCATTATCCAGTTAAAGGAGCTGTATGTAAGATTGTGGCCAAAACTGGTACTGCAATCACTTTCAAATTACTGTAGAGCGGTGTATCCCCTCCCCCTCCCCCCTGACTCAAGGTTGCCAGATAGGCTGCAGGATCCCTCTGGAACGTGACGAGCTGAGCTGGCAACCCGGATACCGCAACACTACTGACTTCGTGATTGGTAGATAGGTGGAGGGTGGAGCATCAGACCAAAACACAACATCAACATCAGTTGAGGGCTGCAACTGCACTTTTTAAATGACAATATGCTGGCCAGACTACTGTTGTCAGTGATATAAGTATTTGAAATGTACATGATTTCTTAATGTCTAGTGGACATATCAGGGCCATTTTATGATTAATTGAAATACATTTCTTACATACAGCTCCTTTAATTTTGTATGTAAATTAGGTATAAACTTAATGGTACTTACAATGCGAGCACATTTCCAAGGGATAACTTGCCTCATTTCCCTACAAAAGAAGAAAACATAAGATTATCAACTTTTTTTATTGAATTATTACACATCACCTTTTTTAACACAAACACACAGTGTGAGTTGAAGGAGATCAATAGGAACGTGTCAGTGTCATATTCCACTGTTTCCCCTACCCGCCCCCCCTAAATTGCTGACGAAATCCAGTCATAAAAAGAAATTTACTGTATAACGCAGAATTTCATGGAATTTGTCAATCTTTTGAGGAATAAATAGAAAGCAGTTCAGTATACACTTTAAATCAAATCGCGATGTAGACAAGTGTGTGTGGATATTAAACCACAAATACGAATCCTGCTTGTTCTGTGTGAATGAATGGTGCAGCTGACGCGCAGTTTCATTTACCACACACACACACACACACACACACACACACTGAAGCACGTGTGACACTTGCGCTGTTTTTTTGCCTATGAAGACACAAATGCATGAACTTCCTCTCCAGGCTCTAGATCCACTCTGAAAGTCACTTCGTGATCATTTCACCGCTTCATTTGAGAAAAACTATCATTATGACATAAACACACAAACTCAAAAGGTCTTCACGGCAACCCGTCAAAATAAAAGTTCGGTTTAACTTGACAGAAATATATTACCGTTGTACAGTAGAATTTAGATATGTCCCAATGTAATAATACTAACACTAATCCAAATAAATTATCATCAAAACTGAATTGAAGGAATAATCCATGTTTTAATTTTAACAGTAAAGCTCATTGTGCAGCACATTATTTGACAAAAAGTTTATTTAATTTCATATGATTAAAATTGATGATAAATGATAAAATTTGTGTTTTATGTCTTCATTTTATTACCAGAAAAAACACAACACAGAATTAGTGTGACATTTTTTTTCATATTTTTTTTAAATGTTGTATACGTTTAAAACCCTTTATCGGGCGAGGAACCATATTTGGTAACTTAATCGCGCATTCAAACTGACTCTCCCCTGCCTGTTTGCGTTATCGTATGAGTGCATATATTTCTCCTAGCCAATCAGCGAAGATCAGGCTACGTCACTGATAGTCACACCATGGCATCTGACCAATCAGAAGTTGCGCGGAGCATTTCAAACTTCAGTGTCGTTCCGGATATTGGAAAGTGAGGTTATTCGCTAATACCTACTCCCACATCAGCGCTAATAACTTCAAAACAAAAAATGGTAAGTTGATGAAACTCACACATTCTATGGTTGAATAGTTGTGCAACATGTTGAGATAGGTGTTGTTTGCATAGATTTCTTGAAAGTAGTGACATTTGTGGCATGAAAAATGGTGAGACCATATTTGATCATACGCCCTATTCACGTAAGATTAGCGCAAGTGATAGGAAGACCATATTTGGACATACGCCCTATGCGTATAGAAAAGTCGTACTAGGGTATTTTTTCTACAAATAATGCATAATAACCACAGTCTATGATTATAATGTAGGACAATAGTATTTACTAGTGCATTGGATGTTATCACAGGTTTGAATAACATTATAAAGTGATCCAGTGGGAAACGTAACACATTTATAGACATTTTCAAGCCATATTAGATATTGAAATATGTGTGGTTTTGGTCAGTTTTATGACCTTTATAACAGTTTTTAATACTTATAATGATATTTTGCACTTCTTATTATATATTTACATATATTATGACAGACTAGTCCAATGTTACTCACTTATTTTTCTTATTATTTATATTTCAGTAGATCTGCACTTCACTGTTACTCAACAAATAACTCAAACTGGGCTTGATATTGACTCAAAAATGTACTCTCTGTTCTTTGCAGCTATCTACGCGAATCTTTTACGGCAAGAGGGAGACAGTTGTGCCAGCCCACCCCAGCATTAGTGATGATGAGGGCTCTGAGGAGGAAGATGATGATGTGGCAGACCCTTCCTCCCACCCACCCACAACCTAGACACTCCAGGCCAGAGTGATATAGGCCCCTCTGCCAAGAGGTGTAATTTAATTTAAAATGTTCCTAATAATAATTTAAAATGTTACTAAATAAATATTTTTATGTTTTTAACAAGTTTATGTGTTTTTATTATATTTTTATATATACACTTTTTAAGGGGAAAAAAATTACCCTAGACTGGCGAGGAACCATATATGGTAACTTCATTGCCCTTGATTTCCAACCTAAAAAAATATATTTTTTAAAAAACTCACAAATGTTTAGAAGTCTTATAATATCCTCCAATAACACTCTATGGTTGAAATTTAGAATTTCCAAGTATTTCAATGAGTGCCCTATAAAGGGTTAATGATTCATAATACACTATTTCAATTAATTAGACATGCTTTTTGATTGCTAAAAAATGTACACCACGTATCCGTAACACGCCCGCTCCGCAACACTAGAAGTCCCCCCCCCCCCGAAAAAAAATCCTAGGGGAAACACTGTATTCTATTGATCAAAAACACTGTGAAATGCGGGTAACGTACGTACTTAATTTCAGAGTCAATTAAACCAAGGGAATTAATTGAGAAACTTTGAAATTGAAAGTACAAGTAAAAACAAACAAACAATCAAAACTCAGAACTATAGGCATAGGTAATATATTTTAATATTCACGTATCAAAAAAAATACATTTGTGACTTTTTTTTCTGGCAATGTAAATGAATCATTTTTTAACTAATTAACATTCAGTTACAGTGGACGTGAGCAGCGCATCACAATGAGATAATGTTGGATTAAACTCTTCAGAATACATTTATCCTTCATATAATGACCTTTCTATAGCTTTTAAACAATACTTCTGAATAACCTGTTCATTAGAGTTACTGTGACACTGAATTGTTCTCTTTCATTTGATACAAACCAAAAGCTAGAAGATGAAACACTAAATACTCCCCCCTCTGTATCTCCATCTGCTTTGATTTATTATTTATAAAGTCTCATTCAGTTCAATGGTTTCTGTGTGTGTCACGGCAGTGAAGGACAGATGAGAGCTTGGGCTGTCTGTATTCAACACATTCTGGCTTTAGGCTTATTATTACCCTGTAATAAATGTAATATCTAATAACACTGCCACCAGGAGCAGCTTTTACAAGAAAAAAAATGAGTCTAAGAACAATTTTAACTCAAAACATTGTTAGTACATTTCACAATTAATTACAAAGTGCCTCTATTGTGCCATTTTAAAGGTCCCTAATGTCTCCTACAACAGGTTTAAACGCATCTAAGGTCAAAAACACTTTATTTAACTCATAATCTCCACTGCAGCGTCAGCTCTTTCTCTCAGTGTCTGAAACGCTCCGATAAAGATTCAGTCTCTCTAAGCCCCGCCTCTCTGAGAGCTGCTCTGCTGTGATTGGTCAGACAGCAAACGCTCATTATCATATGTGAATCTCAGCTCTTGATCACAGTGATACGAACAGTAGCGATGGCGAGGGTTTCACCGTATCAATCTCATCAAAGTGGATTTGCTTTGTGAGCAGAAAACAGCGTCTTCTCGACACGAACAACACGAACCCAACTCTCCCAGTCTCAGATACACTACAGTGATTGATGTACAGTGTTGACATCTTTTGTAACATTATAAATGTCACTTTTGATCAATTTAATGCATATTTGATGAATACAATATTACTTTATCTCTTTTTGCCGCTAAATCTTGCCGCATATGTTACTGATGTTGGACTAATTGATTTACCTTCTGTGGATTCGACCTCTGTCTTTCTTATGTGAAACCTTTTTGCATTGAATTTCTTATGTATTTTGGGTTCCAATTGTGTAATGAGGTAAATGAGATGTACTATTACTGATCAATAAAACTGAAATTTAACAAAAATAGACAGGGTTGTGTCATTTTATTTTCTATAGCTTATATTTTATGGGCAACAACAACTCAGCTTGTAAGAAATGGAAAGGACATAAGTACTCGTTCATTCAACTTTCGACCTGTAACCCATGTTGAACTTGCAAAACCTACAATCAAATCTGAGATTTCTCAACGGCAATCGGGTGAAAGAGACACATTTAGCCGTCTAGCTCCATAGACTCCCATTCATTCTGCACTCACGCACTCATGGGCGATCGCCCCCAGTGGAACTCTGGTGGAACTACAACCACAATTCGGTCCAATAGGACTTAATAGGGAGTGGCCAGGCTCTCCGTAGACGGGCTTTGTTTCTAGTAATCCTGAAGACCTTGATTAGCTTGTTCAGGTGTGTTTGATTAGGGTTGAAGCTAAACTCTGTAGGACAATGGCCCTCCAGCACTGAAGTTGCCCATCCCTGATTTATAATGTGTTTGGAATTTCTTTTAGAATTGCCTTTACAGGGACTTTAAGTATCAAAGTTTCCAGAAAAATCTTAAGCAGCTCAACTGTTTTCAACATTGATAAGAATCATAAATGTTGTTTCTTGAGCATCAGATCATCATATTAGAGTGATTTCTGAAGGATCATGTGACACTGAAGACTGGAGTAATGATGCTGAAAATTCAGCTTTGATCACAGGAATAAATTACACTTTACTGTATATTCACATAGAAAACGGTTGTAATTAATATTTCACAATACAAAACTGTACTTTAACTGTATTTTTGATCAAATAAATGCAGCCTTGGTGAGCAAAAAGACTCTTTCAAAAACATTTTAAACATTTTTTTAGTTTTAACCCTTTCAGGCCTGAGTTCTTGTTTCCACCAACAGCAACCGTTTCCCCATTAGCACTGTGTGTCTCTGAGTGTGTCGACGTCTCTCGGCTCGATGTTACACGGCATCAGCGTGGGATTTGTGGAGCGAACCATCAGATCTGCTGTTGATCTCTGTATATAATATTATATATATATATATATATATATATATATACACATCTATAGCTGCTTATAGCTGTTTATACTGAAATGCTTCTGGATGCAAAGCGCACTCGTATGAAGCGGCCTGGGTCTGTTTCTATAGTAAACTGTACCCTCCTCTTTCTTAAGACTAGGTGAAATGTCCTAAAACACATCATTATCATGCTAATCTCCATTATGAGGAATTGCTGTCACTCCAAACAACTAGTCTTTAGTC